GTCGTTCAGTGAACTTGCTGGCAGTGCTGCCATCCCTGCAGACTCTGTTATTTGTAAAGGTAACTATCGGATAGAATACAAAACCAAATGATAGCCAGAGTAGTAGAATAGCTTTCTTTTTTTTGTTTTTTATCAAAATAAGTTTATCTAATTTAAATTAACAATAGCTCCATAGTTTATTTATTTTATTTTTAGAAATAATTCCACCCGGCAGCTACAGTCTATTGAACTGTAGTTCACTGAGTTCTTAACATTTTCGCGCTGGTGTATGTCGATGGTCAAAAACACTGAACCCACACTCATGGCAAAGGCAACAACAACCATGCAACGACAGTAGCTGCAGGAACATAACAAATCGGCTGCCGTTGTTGTTGTGTTTGTTGTGGCTGTTATTGGTGTTGTTTTGGCTGGCAGGCAGTGTTTAGCCGTTGGATGTGTGCAAAGTAAAAGGGTTAATTCATTTGGCTACAGTTGAAGAGCCATTCTGACTGCGTCATCTTGCCAAGAGAGAAGTGTCTTTTGGTGTTGTTGTTGTTGCGGCTGTTATTATTTGCGGTGGCGGCGGCTGCGGCTGTGGCTGAGGCTGCCGCTGCGGATGCTGCAATTTTGACAAGCAAACAGCGCTTAAGCAAGTTAAGTGGTAGCGAGCAGTGCAAAAGCCGTTCAGTGTTTGCAACTTTTGCCTTTGCCCAAGACGAATTCCAGGGATCAACACCGCCGAGCAGCAGCAACACAGTAGTCATCTCGTCATCCTCATCCTGATCGTCAGAGTCACAATTAGAGCTGTGTCGCAACGTTCTGAGTAAGTTCGTTTGAGCTTTTTACAATGAACCAGTGTGGGTAAGTGGTTCATGGATATAGAGTTCCACCTATCGATTATGAATAACTCCCTTATAGCTCGTAACTGACTCATTTCGATGTATCGCTATTGAGACTGAGGTCGTGAACAAAGTGCATGGCTCGCAATTCAACGATTGAACTAGATTTACCATCACCAACCAGCCATCTTCTTTGCTCCAAGTCAGACTTAAGCACGTGTGCACTTATAGTTGATTCTTCCACTCACGCTGTCTCTCTCTCTAATTCTCGTTTTATGATAATTGTTTTTTGGTTTGTTTTTATACCCTGAACCCATTGAAAATGGGAATCAGGGTATAATGGTTTTGTTAAAAGTATGTAACAGGCAGAAGGAGGCGTGG